TTAATCCATTACATTAGACATTTATGGACTTTTTCAATATTTTGGTTTAAGAGAGCTTTTTATTTCCTATGTATCGATAAATCAACTGTGTAGCATTCCTATGAACCAAATAATCGATTAATCAACTGTCCAGCATCCTGTAGACTAAATAATCAGTAAATCAATTGTGCAGCATTCCTATGGACTAGATCAGATCAAATCAAATCAAATATATATATTTGTCCCAAGCTTACATTACATATAGAAAAAAAAATATTCTTTAAAAATATTTATGAAACTTGAGACGGGGAGGCATTGCTAGCCAGGGGCTGTTTAACACGCAGCCCCCACTGGAGAGTCAGTTCTTGCAATGATGCTGACTTGAAGAGGTGTTGCTGGAAATCCTGCTGCTTATGAGACGGAGGAAGTTGGAGCTACTGGAAAGGATACAGTTTGTAAACGTACAGGAATCCGTCACACGGGCAGCCGTAGTACATCTGAATTTCCGAGCCGGGTCAACCTGTCCGGTCCTAGTTTGTTCTGTACCTAGCCATCTGGACAGGACTAGCCGGTGCAAAAAGGTTGACGCGGTCAGACTTTATGCCTCATATAGGTTGAATTTACTTTTACTAAAGGGGCAGAGGTGCGTGGTCAAGGAGAGGTCGGGTACCTTCTTTCTCGGGGTGGAACACATAAAAATAAATAAGAGTTCAAGGGAGGAGTAAGAATTACTAAACAGGTTTTCACATTGAAAATCTTTAAGATTATCGAGAAGATAATCGATTAATCGATTGTAGCATTCCTGTAGACTAAATAACCGATTAATCAATTGTGAAGCATTCCTGTGGACTAAATAATCGATTAATTAGCTGTGTAGCATTCCTGGGGACTAAATAATCGATTAATCAACTGTTTAGCATTCCTGTAGACTAAATAACCGATTAATCAACTTTCTATTATTCCTGTAGACTAAATAATCGGTTAAACATTCGTGTAGCATTCCTGTAGACTAGATATTCGATTGATCAACTGCGAAGTACCTTATGGACTAAATACTCGATTAATCAACTGTGTAGCATCTGCCTGTGTACCAAACAATTGATAATCAATTGTGTAACTTCTCTGTCACCCTTGATTTAATATAATAAAGAATTCTGGTCAGCCACTGCCGCTGATTTATATGTGGCATAAGATAAAAAAAATATAGATACTATCTATCTATATTTAAGATTATAAGATTTATAATTGAATCATTAGATTAAAAAATATTGATAGATACTATCTATCTATAATTTAAGATCATAAGATTAAAAAATATATGTGGATACTATCTCTCTATATTTAAGATCATAAGATTAAAAAATATAGATAGATACTATCTATTTATATTTAAGATTATAAGATAAAAAATATAGATAGATACTATCTATCTATATTTAACACTAGCTTAGGAACCCAGTGTGGCCCAAGTCATAATTACTGTTAGTCCAACTGTTTTCGGGCCCCTTGCCTTAAATTATAATTTTAGCCATTTTTTCCCGTTAAAAGTGGACCCACTCAAGTTAGAATTTCAAAATCAAGCTAAGAACATTTCCGTGGGTCTCCCGAGTTCCCCAATCAAAATTTGAAGCAAATCTGTCCGGGGGTTCCTAAGTTATGATCGGACAAACAAACAAACAGACAAACAGTGATTACAACTTTATATATATAGATACTATTAGATAGATATATCCTGTCACCATTTCGATCTCTAATGGTTCTGAATATCTTGCAAAGCTTGTGAGTGAGCTCTGATTGGACTTGTCACAACCGGAAAGTTCAAACAAGGGTAATTTGGACCAAATGCTCGATTAATCGATTATCAGTTCAATATTTTTGTCGTCCATGTCCATCTTTTTGAAGTGAATTTTTTCTAAATATAGTAAGTCGATAAAAATGTAGGAGGGGGTATATATTTTCCAGAATTAACCTCCTCTACTAGCCTCAGGGGTATCTGTGAGTATGATTTTGCTGGCAAGTTTATCCACCCTTTTTGATACCTTTAGGGATGTATTTGCTAGTATAAAGCATAGCTGAGAAATTGACATTCCTTTTGACGTTATTACTGGAGATTTTGTCCGGTCCAGCGACTCAGCAGTCATCATAAGCCCGAGTTTGATTTAATTGATTTTTCTTTATAAATTTCTGCCAGTTTCAAAAATAGTGGAAGTTTCAAAATCGCTGTACAACCCCTCCCCCCCCTTCCCCCAAATTCAGCCTTAAGCCATAAAAAACATTCTTAAAATTTGGGAAGGTGGGGGGGGTACAAAATTATTCTTTTGGGACTTTCTGAACCACTTCTGTTAATATAAATATTGATTTAGATGTTATGAGGCACTTGAAAGATAGACGTGTAAGATCTGCTCAAACTGTTACATACAAATGTAAGACCTGTTCAAAGGTAAATCATATTTTTTGTTTTTATTATTGTTATTAATATTATTATGTGATGTAAGCTTTATTTATTTTATTGTTAATACAATGCTCTGAGGTTCATATCTGTGTGGATAAAAGTCTTGGAACCACTGATGTAAAAATGATAATTCATAATGGTCAAAATTTAATCTGATGTAGAAAAAATAATAATTCATTTTCAAATTTTTGTAACCCTGCGACCTACAATGCAAATATCAGAGAATTAATAGTGCAGTATATGTTAATTCAAATGTTGGAGAAAAAACTAAATTTTTACTTTAGGTTTATTCCCTCCTTGCAGATATGGAAGAGCATCTGCGAACAAAAAACAAGGATTTGGAAACCAAGAGAGATAAAGAAATGACAAGTTTTCCTCAAACAGAACTACCAGAAGTTAACAGTAAGCTAGAAGTGGTGAAAGAAAATACCCTAATTGATGACGTTTTTAGGCAGCCTTTTCAAGTTTATTCTCTCCAAAACGTTCAAGTTTATTCTCTTATTAAACTGGAAACCGCAAACGCAGTGATGATGGGAAACCAAGATACTTTGAGTTTGGGAGAAGTGAAGAAGGTAATTGTTTTGTTTTTAAAAAAAATGAAAAATGATTTGATGCAGATGAATCTGGAAGATCGTTGGTATTGTAGAATCTAAGTTCTAGATAAAAAAATTACGAAGGAGATTAATAGTAATAAGAGTAATAAGTTAAATATGGGTTACATTCCACTCTGACGTATTTTAACAAAACAGTATTTTTCAAAGCCATGAATCGACAAGGTCATTTAAACATTTCTCTTCTACACGGAATAACACTCTGGAATGAATTTAGCAATTGGATTTTTTAATTTTTAATTCTTGCAACTGATCTCATAAAATATTTCGGGCACTTCTTGAAAAATGTTTTGTTGTAAATTACAAAATTCCACTGCTTTCTGTTTCTCACTGTAAATTATTTCAATGATAAGATATATTTTTTAAATTGGCCTTTGAAGAAATAACTTTAAATTCTTTATTTTTCAACGTTAACTGAGCTTTGTTATTTAGTTATCGTTTTGAATAAAAAATTAGTATTTTAAAAATCTTTTTCATTTTTTATGGTGTGTCCCAAAGTTTTCATCATTTTATGGCTAAAAAATTTAAAAAATTAATTTAAAGAAAAAAAGGCTGAAATGTTCTAAATGGTGCCCGTTTCAACTGAAAAATGTAAATGTAGTGGAGGCGGTTGTATTTAGAAAAAAAGGCGCGATTTTTTCATAATTTTGTTTGTTTTAATAATATTTTTTCTGAAGGATATTTTTTAGAGAAAATATAGTGAACGACGGGAGAAATGTCAGTACTGTGAACTGACTCTGGAGACCTTGTCTGAAAAAAATGAGCATCTGGCAAATCAGGTTAATGGGTCTTTCCACGTAGTTATTGCTGTTTACTATTTAAAAATTAATTTGTTATTTTCTATTTTAGAAATCAATTTGTTATTTTCTATTTTAAAAATCATCTTATTTTCTATTTTAAAAATCATCTTATTTTCTATTTTGAAAATTAATTTGTTATTTTCCATTTTGAAAAAATAATTTGTTATTTTCTATTTAAAAAAAATAATTTGTTATTTTCTATTTAAAAAAAATAATTTGTTATTTTCTATTCTATAATTTAATTACCCGATTACAAATGTACTTTAATCCTTTTTCCCGGGAAAGATTCCTAGAGTGGAGTAGAGAAAAAATCACCTTCACCTTTTTCTAACTTCTTATCCAAAATTTCATCAGTTTTCCCCGAAAGACAAATTAATTTTCCAAAATACAGCCAATAAAACTCAACATATATATATAATTTATATATGTGAATTTTATGTAAAAAGTATCAAAAACAATGACTAAAGTTGTATTTCTAAGAAAATATATACCCCTGAAACATAACTAATTACAGGAAAGCTGTAAACAACTGGAGTATTTCTGTATTTGTAAACATTGTAATAAAGCATTCAGAGATGAAAAAGGTAAATAAGATACAATCAATAATAATAGAGTATCAAAATGTAAATTTTATTCGGGAACTTTACAAAATTATTCGGAGGGGGGGGGGGGGTCGATCAAGAAAGGAAAACTAGACTTACAAGCTTTAAGTTTAAAACTAAAAAACGAATAAATGTCAAGTTTCTTCACCTTAAATGTCGCTTGTGACTTAAAATAAACTGTAACCTTAATATATCCTCAAATATTTAACTCATCGATTTGACAAGTTAAATATTTAAACCTAATGTAATCAGGCGCGTAGTGGAGGTTTAGCCCAGGGGGTGCACTTTTTTGTGCACCCCCTAAAGGTTGATGTACACCCCTCTGAAAAACCGGTATTAAGAAAAAATAAAGTTTAAAATCAATATTTATCTACCTAAAGGCTGACTATTAGTCATCTGACCATAATTACCAATCATTTTAAATGGAATCCTGCGAAAAAAATATTGTAAATTAGATTAAGATACAAGAAAGATGTTGAGAAATAATCATAAAATGGACAAGTTGTGACATTTTCCATTGATAAGAAAAGTTTGATAAATTAGAGCCTGTCTCTGGCTCTAGGGGGGGGGGGCCTAGGGGGTGCATGTCTAGGGGGCACAGGGGTACCGCCCCCCCCCTCCACTACGCGCCTGAATGTAATCCCCTCAGTTTTTCATAATTTTTCATAAATCTATTAATCATGATTCTCTGGAAAATGTTGCGTAAACATTTAACCCATTTAGTCAAGAATTAAATTAAATTTCACCAAAAATTAATTATTTTGCAAAAATTATATGCTATAACTTGGAACCATTGTATATTTTAGCGTTAAAACCAATTGCAAAATAAAATCAGTTTTTAAAGAGATGAATATATATCCAACATCGTTACAATGGTTGATTAGTTAAAAATTAGTTTGATCTATTTAAAGGGACTGCAAACGTAGTTTCAAATGGACCTCCATTGATCTATATGGCATAACCGATTCACAACCGTACCCATAAAAGCCCTTGTCTGTAGGAATTAGAAACTCATGTTTTTGTTTTTGAAAATAGTTTATTTTCAGTTTTGATTTTTCTAGAAAAGTGACTTGCCCAGTTTTGCTTAAGAAACAAAAAAGAAATTATCAGAACTAAACGCTTTGAGAAACTAATCTTTCTTCCACGTTACTAATCAGACTATTTTATTACTTGCTTTCAAGGGTACTGTCGTGAAGTTGGCATACCACTCTTTGAAATATGTTTATTATGGTGACGATGACAATTCCCTTTAAGAGGAGATTGCTTTTTTATTATATTTACTTAATTTAGATGTGAAGATACATTGGAGAATGAAAAAAGCTTCGATAAACTGCTATATTGAGTTTAAATGTAAAACATGTCGTCAGGTTTGTGCTTGCTTTCTAGTAAGAATAATCTAGATATTTAAGCCCTGCAAAAAATCTGTCAGCTGAGTTTTGGTATAATTTTGACACTGTTTTATATCAATATTTCGAAACAGGACATCAGATAGAACTAGTATTGGTCGCGATCAACTCATAATATTTTAAAGCTTCAGTCTATACCCCCTATCATTTTTCTTATAAGTCTCTTTAATGTTACATTCTGTTTCAGTTTTGCTGAACACTCCCTTTAATTTATCATGTATTATATAGAAGTGTGTCTAACTCTACATTATTTAACAATATATAATAATTCTGAAAACCTTTGTTTTAAAAAACTAAACGTTGTCGAAGCTAGAAAATTTATAATTTGATCTTGTTCATATTAATTAAAGATTTAAAGTGACGATCTACGTAATTCAAAGTGACCCTCAAATTAAAAAGTTAATTTGCCAGATACGAAACCTCGAAACCTCCCCAATTAGTTTTTTAAATATTGTCTTTTTTGGCATAAATTTAAATCTTTAAATTTCATGAATTTCTTGAACATTTTTTTTGTCCACACGAAAATATATATCTTTGTTACTTGTAAATCGGGCATGCCACTTTATAAATACTTTGAATTACTTGCACACTGGACAGTTCTCTATCTGATTTCACATTGGTTAAAATTGCAGTGTTTTGATTTAACCAGCGAAAGTTCTCTTGGCCACAAAAGAATGTGATTAATTACAAATTCCCTGATTTCTTATAAAAACGGCAAAAAATTTTTGTTCTAAGATCTTTTTTGATTTTTTTTTGACTAACTGACTGACAGACTGTAAATTAAAGGAATTTAACAAATCATTCTATATCGATCTAGTTTTACCTGTTCCAGGTGTTTCCAAGTCTAAATGACGTAACTGTTCACCTAAGTCGTTGTTCCACTGATCCTCTAGGAAGAAAGAGGAAAAAGATAAAGCTTGAAGTGGATGATCAGAGAAGATATACCAAGGACGATCCCATCAAACTTGATGTTCTGGAATATTCAGACATTAAAGAAGAAGAGCCGGATGAAGATCCTTTGGCGGGTTACTAAGTGACAAAACTAGCTCTAATAATACCTAGCCTGATTTCTAAAAGTCGATTTTTTTTTCATTTGTGCTTAATTGAATGAAAAATCCGAAATAAGAAAATCTCCGAATTCCTTACTAACTGTCTGACATTTGATAATTTCCGAAGCAACAATGGCTACACCCAGAAAAAAGATTACAGGTCTTCCTTAAACTGACCAAACTGTGTCAAAATACGACATATATCGGTATTTTTCTTCCAGAACTAATTTTTTCAAAAACTTAATTTTGGTTTCCGACCAGTTGTAATTACTTTAAAGGGACCAAGATATTTGAGAAGATATTATAGAATAAGATTCCAGCTTTTAAATATTAAATTCGTCCTCCATTTGATGTAAACAAGTCAAATTCTCCAAATATCCGGTTCGAAGTTTGAGAGCCTCCCTAAGCAGAGAAAGATTAACAATGCTGGAGGCAATTATTTTCTTTTATTTAATTTCATGCAATAACGAGTTAATAAATATTAAAATTACCTTGTTTTGCTTTGGTGCACATTTAAAAAGAAATCGACTTTTAAGATCGCCCAATATTTTGTATCAAATGAATATTGAATATCTATGACACCAATCGATTTTTTTTGTTCTAAACCAAGATTATTCGATACAGAGGTGTAAAAAAGAATATCCTTTTGTAGATATTCCAAGAAAGTTCTTAGTTGTTCTGTATTTATTTCTTTGAAATTTCCAGTAAAAGACTCTTATTAACTACTGTTACGTACATTATAGAACTTACCATCGAACACATAAGCAAGTGGGATGTTAACCTTTCCCTTCTTTGTTAACTTGTTTGTCAAGAAAATTGCTTTGAAAATGAATACGACATCCCCCTGTATTTTAGGGTGAAAGTGTAAAGTATGCAAGATACAACTAATATTACAGAATTGAAAGTAAAATTCCAAGAATTTAATTCCTATGATTTGTCTTTTACAAATGTATCCCAGAAACTATTCTTGTAAAATAAAAGTAAAACCATTTAAATTTGAAAACATAAAATGTGTCAGAACTATGCATGATCATGTTGTTGCTAATATCCACCGATCTGAAAATTATAGAATACTGGTTAGGTTTTTCAACGTCAATTTCTCATGTTTATTTTTAATGTTATTTTATGTTTCGAATCCTAAATTGGTGGCATTTGTAGAATCGTTATCATTATTTGAAACACAAAACACGTTTCCTGAGGCTGAATTTAAAGAAATAGAGCCACGGCTTAAATTTTACTTAAAATTGTATTCAATTTTTCAATATTTAAGCTGGCGCCGAATTGAAACCAGTTTTTGGGAAATTTGAGACGCGGCTAAAATTCATTAAATTCGGACTCCGGTTTCACACAATTTAAGAATTTATCTCAATTTTGCAAAAGAAAATCGGTTCTTTCTCATTTCTGTTTTTTTTGTGAACGAACCCAGAGTTTAAAGCAGTGCTTGGGATACAATTAATTTTAAAATTTTTTGTTTTATTTTTTCGCATTTTTTTATCCTAAAACTTTATGAACCAATCAGAAATAAGGAAATTTTTATAGTCTCTCTTTTTTTCAAAAATTCATATTTGGGTTTTAGGAGTAAAACAGTTTTTTTTTTTTGCAGTTTTTGGTTAATATTTTACACCTTGGATCCGGATCCGTGGATCCGCATATTGTTGCGGATCCGGATTCTAAGCACTGGGTATTTAGCCCTTATGCAAAAAAAAATTATTGAAATTTTTTATCTCTATCGGAGGATTTGGAGTAAAATACAGGATGTATACTAGCGGAGATTGTAGCAAATCTGGGCTTGGATAAGGAAAACATTTTTAATAATTTTGTTTATTTTAATATTCACAACATCTTTTTAGTACTAGTATGATTACAAGGATTACAGAGCAGGGAAGCAAATATATTTATTATTTCAGACGATTTAAATACGCTGTATTGTGTTCGTCATTATCCAGTATCAAACCAAATAATGTTTTATTTTAATCTGGAGGGAGCAAAACAGTACCCCGAGGGGGGAGGGTGGTAATGATAGTCCCCCAATTCCGTCCAAGAAATAGACGTTTTTTACAATCACAAATATGAATGCTTGTTTACAACATAGATTATACAACTCACAGAATATTTAAAGTATAAATACAACCATTTAATGAGTATACAGTTGATTACATTTGACTAGCATATTATATAGTTAAGAGCACAATAGATTAAGCTTGATAGTTTGACTAAAATAAATAATATAAATGCACAAATAGTTCTAATAAACATTCACAATGATTGAACTGTGTCCACAGATATCAACTCGGGTGTTTAAAAAAATGTAGGAATGAAGTGACACCCTGTAAATTAACATTGTGTGTACACTGTACAGGTTGTTAGGTTTCTCATCTGAATGAAGGAATAAAACGAGAAGCTCAAAAATGACTTTCCTCAGTATGAATCACATTTTTTAAACACAGGGAATTTTACTGTCATGGGCTGATATGTTGAATACACTAAGTTATTAATCAGAAGGTTTAGTTTGTCGTCCTAAATAAATAATATTGATAATCTACAAACAAATTTTAATACAATTGAATTTAAGGTTTCATGAGAAATGGAAATTAAATTTTTTCACCATCTCTCAAATCTTTTCGTTCTTTATGAATAGGGTGATTTAAATATATCATGGATTTTTTTCTTGGATTTTAAGAATATTTTCAGGATATTTTAAGGCTTTATCTTACTTTTTAAGCATTCAAAGACATCAGCTTTTTCTTCTACAGGGTGTCTAACAAAATATGACGGTTAGTAAATAGTTCGGAATATCTTCTTCCATGTACTGTATATTAGAGACTTTTCGTTAAAAAAATCTGTTGCTCAATTATTTAATTTGAAATTAATTTTACCATAATATGACAGCCATATAATAATTTTTTAAAATCTCTCAGGTATCAAACAACATAACAAATTATGGAAGAAGACATTTTAAACTATTCACCAACTGTCATGTTTCGTGGTACGCCCTGTATATTTCTTTAATTTTTTTATAATTGCCCTTTAAAAAGTTAAATTAATCAAACAGCATTTTAAAACCTAAAACTTGTCATGGTATAGATAAATAAATAATAAAAAAGATTAACCATCATTCCGTGGAAATCAGGGTATAGTAGTAATAGATTGCAGAATAACCTTATCCAGGTAAGGGTGGACGTTCATCCCTAAATGTTTTTTTTCCCAAGCGAGGGGTGGGGCTTAAACGTGGCGATTGACAAGAACAAATAAATGCACTAGAATAAAGGACAAGAACAAATAAATCCACAAAGATACAGGACAAGGATAAACTACTTTACCAAGGGCAAGGACAAGGATAAACAACTTTACTCATAATAAGGACAAGGATAAAAATTTTACTCATAAGGAAAAGAATAAATAACTTACTTAGAGTAAGGTTAAGGACAAGGATAAACAACTTTACTAAGAGTAAGGACAAGGATAAACAACTTTACTAAGAAAACAACTTTACTAAGAGTAAGGACAAGGATAAACAACTTTACTAAGATTAAGGACAAGGATAAACAACTTTACTAAGAGTAAGGACAAGGATAAACAACTTTACTAAGAGTAAGGACAAGGATAAACAACTTTACTAAGATTAAGGACAAGGATAAACAACTTTAATAAGATTAAGGACAAGGATAAACAACTTTAATAAGATTAAGGACAAGGATAATAAATGGCACAGTGGTCGGGGAATATGTCAATTGAATTAACACGCTTTTTTTGTTTTGATTTTTACCAAGCTTTTTTTAAAATTACAAATTTACAAGTAAATAAAGAGAAAATGTTAATTGGCAGCTTCGCGTTGCAACTATGCTTAAGAATGTATTCATGCTGATTAAAGGCTTGGTAATAAAAAAAATAGAAAGTCGTCTTGATTGTATTAATATAATCGCCGATGCCTGTAAATTAATAATAATGTTGAGAGACAAAAAAAAGAACAAAATAGTTGGATAAAATTCAAGACAGGAAAAGTTTGAATGTTTAGAGTGAAAAATGATATTTGACACGACTTAAAGCAAAAAATTGTCAAAAGCTCGAGAAGAAAGAAAAAGAACTAAGATTTACATTTTACAACAATTTAAGAATAAAGCATAAATATTTTCACAATATTTAGGACAAAATTGAGGAGCAATTACGGGATGAGCATATAAAAAAAAAATAAACTTTGCTACAATTGGAACTTTAGAGCAAGGAAAATTATTATCTATTGATCCAAGAGCATGATAGGGTTTAAAAGATGGGCCGAAGAGCAATGAAAGGTTTAAAAGAATTCTTCAAGAGCTAGGATAGGTTAAAAATGTTGCACCAAGAGCAAGGGAAGATTTTAAAGAATTCTCCAAGAACAAGAACAGGTTTAGAATATTGCTCCAAGAGCAAGTATGATGAGGAAGGTTGAAGATATAAGGTTGAATGCTCCGCAGGTCAGCTCGTGTCTTGGATATTGATAAAACCGAGGAGGTTCAATGTCAGGCCTGAAATAGAAATGATATTGTACATTTTTTAAACACAAAAAGCCATCTTTTACGTTAAACAGTTCTGTCCGGCGCGGCGTTGAGAATTTTAGGGAGGAAAGCGGAAGCTAAATTAGGTAGAACTAAATCTATTGTGCCTCGAGGTAAAGGTATCTTGATTTCTGTTTTAAAGATAAAACACAGTTTTGTTTGGCATTTTCAAATATGTGATAAATGAATGTAAAATTCGTAAAAATAAATTCAATTAAATCTCAAATGTTAGATTTTAATGTCAACAATTGTTTTAAGTAGAATATATTTTTACCAACGTCGTTTCTACTTGGTAATTGTATGAGACACATTTTTAAAATAATTAATTTTAAATTTCTATCTCAAACATTTTTGAACAACAATTTTTCATATAAATTACTAAAAAAGCAAGTTTTGCGAATTTTTCAGTTTTCAGTAATTGATTTAAAAAATATCTGAGAAATGAAAATTTTTGATTTTGACGGCAATGAACAAAGATACAAAAAGGGGGGCTATACTTAGTTGAGGTTTAACGCATAAAAATATAAAAGCAAAGAATTTAAATATTCAGGAATTTGTCCAGAGGGGGCTTACATTTTTTCTTTCCAGGGGGGGGGGGGCTCAGGGCCTGAAAATCTCTTAACATCCAAAGATTTCACTGGTCTAGGGGGCTGGGGCTGACTCACAAAGCACCCCCCCCTCCTTCGGAACACGGCTATGAAAATATTGTTGATTTTAAATTTGTTGAACTTACAAGCATGTTTCCTTATTGCATATATCCTGGCATGCTGGGCACACTAGACTGCCTGTATGAAGCCAGGACTCAGAGAGTAGTTTTACAGTTAGCTCCTGGTTCTTCTTAAAGCAGGTGAAGGTCTTGTTCATCACCTGGATATACACAGGTATTATAGGTTTTATGAAAAATATCTAATTGAATTTCTAAATTTCAATGGACTTCCCAAAATAACGTTCTCCTGCCCATGTTGAATTTCAAGGGAAAAACACTGAATCCTAGCCCAGAGATATAGCCTAACCATAACTTTATTAAGATCCAATGCATTTTGAGGTTTGAATAGTTTCGTCTACATCCTAATACATATTTATTTGTAAATAAATAGAAAGTAGTAATTTCTGTAATTCTCTGTTGGTTGGATATCCTATTAAAACTCAGTCATGATGGCGTAAACCTATGACTTTCAACTTTGACTATTTGAGAAAAAGAAAATTAATTTTAAAATTTAATGTTCATGCTGAGGAACTGAACACTTTTACTTTCAGTTTATCTTCGCATCCTGATGGCGTATACTTTAAATTTTTAACGTTGATACTTTGACTTAGCAGAATTCATGTTTTAAAAATAGAAACTTTGTACAGTCGTCTCTACAGTCTCATCCTATCTTGATAACCCTGTAGGCCAGGTCCATGTTATACCTTGATATTAAGACGACCTTCAGAGCAGGAATATGCGTAGCATCCGCTCCCCCAGTGCTGCCATTGACGAACCTAGAAAATACAGTGTTTTAAACATTCAAAGGGACTGTAGACGTAATTTTTGGTGACTCAAGTTTCCCAACGGTTTTCTTTAAACCTTCATGTAAAAAAAACATCAATCAATCCATGTTTTTCATAATTCCGCAAGTCATTTTATTTGTTCAGAAACCGCAATTTTAACAAATTAATTAAAATACAAAATTTTAAGACGAAGGAAACACGAGTACCTTTGTGAATCGGCACTTTTGTGACGTGACCCTACCTCCCACATATTCTTGCTGTGGTCAAACCACAATATTACCTGTCCACATGACCTCTCCTCACACATTTCTTTGCTGTGGTCAAACCACAATATTACCTGTCCACATGACCTCTCCTCACACATATCTTTGCTGTGGTCAAACCACAATATTACCTGTCCACATGACCTCTCCTCCCACATATCTTTGCTGTGGTCAAACGACAATATTACTTGTCCACATGACCTCTCCTCCCACATATCTTTGCTGTGGTCAAACAACAAAATTACCTGTCCACATGACCTCTTCTCCCACATATTCTTGCTGTGGTCAAACCACTATATAACCTGTCCACATGACCTCTCCTCCCACATATTCTTGCTGTGGTCAAACCACATTATGACCTGTCCATAGGCCTCTCCTCACACATATCCTTGCTGTGGTCAAACTACAATATTACCTATCCACATGACCTCTCCTCCCACATATCCTTGCTGTGGTCAAACCACAATATTACCTGTCCACATGACCTCTCCTCCCACATATCTTTGCTGTGGTCAAAACATTTTGCTCCCTCGCCATACTTCTCCAGGGCAAAGTTCCTCTCGTCGCCTTCAAATAAGGACTTTTTAAGTTATATCCAAAAAAAATATTAACACAGGCCAAAACCTCTAAATTTCTTTGTAACCATATGATGCAAACCATTGAAATATCAAACTTATTTGATACGGTAGAATTTATAATATCAAAAGTCTACGGCATAAGATTGCAACTTTTCAGCGGCTCTGTGTACTGTACATAGTAGATATTAAACATAGGAGATATTAAACATTTAAACAGTTTTGTTGATTTTCAATAAACTGGAAACATTATCTCCGTCTACTTTTTAAGGTGAAAAAATGGTAGACCCAATTTTGGAAAGCCTGGGACTAGTGTTTTCGGTGTTAAATGTTTAACTCTGATACTACAAAATTTACGAAATAATATTGCTTGAAACAAGGAATATATTGAAGGCGTCATTTAATAGTACGATTAAAAAACTGTATTGTAATGTACAATGTCTATAAATACATTTAATAGTACAACGATTAAAAAACTGTATTGTAATGTATAATGTCTATTAATACATATCATAGTACAACGATTAAAAAACTGTATGGTAATGTATAATGTCTATAAATACATATAATAGTACAAGGATTAAAAAAACTGTATTGTAATGTATAATGTCTATAAATACATTTAATAGTACAATGATTAAAAAAAACTGTATTGTATTGTATAATGTTTATTAATACATATCATAGTACAACGATTAAAAAACTGTATTGTAATGTATAATGTCTATAAATACATTTAATAGTACAATGATTAAAAAAAACTGTAATGTATAATGTTTATTAACACATATCATAGTACAACGATTAAAAAACTGTATTGTATTGTATAATGTTTATTAATACATATCATAGTACAACTATTAAAAAACTGTATTGTAATGTATAATGTCTATAAATACATATCATAGTACAACGATTAAAAAACTGTATTGTAATGTATAATGTCTATAAATACATATCACAGTACAACGATTAAAAAACTGTATTGTAATGTATAATATCTATAATTACATATCATAGTACAACGATTAAAAAATTAACTTAAAGGGAGTGTAACTGTGTAATCGTAAATTCAAGTGTCCTATCATGCAAAGATGGCAAAGCCCGATCCATTACAATACCCTTTAAAGCTCTGTCTGATCAAGTATAAATTATGATATCAATATCTTTATAATTTAAAAAACTGATTGCTTTCAATTGTGGTTTCTCTTAAAAAGTGGCTTGCACAATTGCAATTCTAGGAAAACATATGAATTATCATAATTAAACACTTTTAATCTAAAAAAAATGCAAAATCTTTCACATCATGGATCAAATAAAGGATTCTTCAGAGTACCGTTCTGAATCGGGTATTACAATCTTTGCGTGAAAGGTTCGCTTAAAATTTAATCGAACAGTCCCTTTAAGCAAATTATTTGACCCTTAAAATGAAAAAATGAACTTCCATCTCTTCCTGCTCTATGAGAGTTTGCAATCTTAATTTTTTATCCTTCTAAGAATATATTCTGTCACGATCTACTTTGCCGCAGCACCGCGCCTTGTATTTTCGCGCATATTTACCGGACGCAAGCCGTGCATTCATTGCTTTCTGTTCATCTCAAAATCATTTAAAAGTTATTTAATCTTTTATAAAAAATTTAAAGATTTGCTTTTATCTTATAACGAAAAAAACTAGCATATCCGGTTCATTAAGTAGTGTCGACTTTTTAAAACATTTCTGAATCATGACTAATTTTTCAATAATATATTCTGTAAAAGTTATTTAATTTTTTACAATAATTTTTCAATATTATGAATATTTACTCACTTGGTTGGTTCTCCTCGTACATACAGTGACTACCACGCACAACTACGTTGTTACTTCGCCAGGTGAACTCCTGAACAGAATATATTTGGAATATTTAAAAAATTATGTTTATTTAGGTTTGAGGAGCTGTCATGGTGGTGTAATCTTTAAAGTAGTTTTAAATATTTAGAGATATCAAGATGAAATGAAATAAAAAATGTTAAAAAACCTGTATATAAGGACAGTAGTCTGCTAGCCCAACTGACCCTCCGTAGTAGCCGACATCAGAGATGTTCACATGCGGTATTCTTTTTCATAAAACAATATTTTTTTTTTAATGATAAATAAACTGCCACCAAATATATTTTTTAGTTTTAAAATTTGACATTTTTATGTAGATAAATTGAGTTAATCAACCTTAGATCTGAGATTTAAAAAAATGCTTCTTTGAATTGTAAAATTTTAAAGGGACTGTCAGCGTAATTTGAAGTGATCCTCCATTTAAAGAGGCCCGTCTGCCTGATTTTGAACGCACGCAGTACTTTTGAAACCTGAATCTGATCCGTAATGTGGAAAATAAAATCTTTTTATTTTTGCTCGTCTGCATGTCACTTTTGTAGATAAACCGCAAATAAAAAAATATAGTTTTCAAAAACAAAAACATGGATATCTAATTAATTCAGGAGAAAGCTTTTAAAAGTACCATTGTAATTAGTACCGTCGAAGAAGTTCGTACCACTTTATATCAAAAACAAACTATTATAAACTCTGATCTCTAATTTTTTGTTTAATTTAAAGTGAATCCATGAAAACTTTAAGAGTAATCGGATTAATTGTATAAATTTTAGGTTTAGATAAAAATTCAAATTAAATTTCAATTAATCAAAAAGAGATTAGAGAAATTTGAGAATATAAGCAAGTTTAATCAAAAGTTAATATTTTATAAACATTGTTAGCTTTCAGAGCGCCCCTCCCCCTATTTCTATAAAAAAAATTTTGTAGTGCATAAACAACTATTATTGCAGTTGCCACAAAATACAGCTGGGCCCATTAAATGTAAATATATAAAAATAAATACCATAAAATATATGTTTAGTTTCCTGTCAAAGTTTTGAAGATGTGGCGGTAACTCGTTACCATGGTTTACCAGATTACACAGAGCAACACTACTCCGGTCATCTGTACATTCAGTCTCAAGGGGGTCACGCTTAACCTGTAGTGCAGTACACTGGTAGGGAAGTAATATTGGTCATGTACATAGTACAGAATACATCGTCACGTACGACTTACTCACATAGTAACTAGTAGGTCTTTTCAATATCGCAATAAACTCAGCCAAATATTATCATCTAAATCTCAAAAAAGCACGTAGAATTAAAGTAATTTAACCATTTAAACGAATATAGAAAAACTGTTTTGACTTTTAAAGCAGGACCTCTAACCCAACGTATATAAGCTTTAACATTAGTTGTGCGTTCACGGAGAAATGACATTTTTAACCTTTGGTCCTAAATTGAAAAAAATACCACTTTTAAATAAAAAAAACTTTCAATCGAATTTTGTTGTTGAAAGCGCCAATGTACGACATCTATTTTTGTTCTAAAATGTCGGATTCTATGCATGTACAGTGTACAGTTGAAAGTAGTCAAATATGAATTAATGAATTTACAATAGCATTAAACTGTCGTTTTCTAAAAAAAAAAAACCGTGATTTATCATTTTTCATTTAATCACTCCGCGCGGCCGTGTTGCCATCATTGCATGGAGGGTCACTTGAAATTACGCGCTTACAGTCCCTTTAATAGTTTTGATGGTATTAGGTGATTTAATTTGAAGTTTGGTTAGAAATTCGAATTAAATTTTAGATTAATCAAAAAGAGATTTGAGAAAATAAACAACTTTAGTTCAAGATTATAGAAAGGTTTTGACCAACGAGATCAACAAAATTAAGTTTGATTAATATTCATGAAAAAAAATATTGATCTTAATCTTGGTGTTCGAGTTAATAGTAGTATATATTTATTTTAAAGGGACTGTTATAGTGTATACGTAATCTTAATTGATCCTTCGTAAATGGAAAGAGCAGTTGCCGTTCTTGTGTTTTGAAAAATGTTAAATTTAGAAAAGTCTTTTTTTTCTGCACCATAAATGCGCAAAGTACTTGTTTACAGAGTCCACGATTCATAAATAAGAGTACATTTCCCTTTGAAAAAGATGGCCGCACGCTTCATTTTTCTTACAAATCCTATTTCAAAATGGCGACCATATCGATAATCTCTCTACACGTGTATCCCTTGTTACAGTACGGATGAATACTCTTCCCGGCTCTCTGTCTGGAATCCATCCACTCCTTACAGCTCTTAAGAGCAAAATCACAGCCGAGCCCTGCCCCCCACTTCAGCTCCTCCGCCATCTCATAGTTGGGTAAATACCAACCAGTGTCTTCCATCAGAGCCATGGTTATCCTACAAAAAAACTTTAGATTAAAATCAAATTCAAAATTCCAAATAAATGTGATTTGTGCAGTGCTGTATTTCTTTTAAACAGTAGTTGTCAGTTTAAAGATGTTGAACCCCAGGGACTAGATTAAAGGAAAAGTGAGATATATGAAAATGAACTCCTGTGGACGCTATTGAGCCACGTATATGTTGCGAATATTTGTCAAAAATCTGGTCCTAAAGGTTCTAGATATTAATTATACCAGATTACACATAATACAGATAAAATCTTGCCATAACTGGAGTATATAGGGTTCTGAGTATGTGTTCCTGTACCTGGAGAATATAAGGTTCTGAGTATGAGTTCCTGTACCTGGAGAATATAAGGTTCTGAGTATGAGTTCCTGGATACCTGGAGTATATAGGGTTCTTAGTATGAGTTCCTGTACCTGGAGTATACCGGGTTCTTAGTATATGAGCTCCTGTACCTGGAGTATATAGGGTTCTGAGTATACTCCTGTACCTGAAATTTATAGGGTTCTGAGTATGAGTTCCTGCACCTGGAGTATATATATAGGGTTCTGAGTATGAGTTCCTTTACCTGGAGTATATAGGGTTCTATGTATGAGTTCCTATACCTGGAGTATATAGGGTTCTCAGTTTACTCCTGTACCTGGGGTATATAGGGTTCTCAGTATACTCCTGTACCTGGAGTAAATAGGGTTCTGAGTTGAGTTCCTGTACCTGGAGTAAATAGAGTTCTGATTTGAGTTCCTGTACCTGGAGTATATAGGGTTCTGAGTTGAGTTCCTGTACCTGGAGTAAATAGGGTTCTGATTTGAGTTCCTGTACCTGGAGTATATAGGGTTCTGAGTTGAGTTCTTGTACCTGGAGTATATAAGGTTCTGAGTTGAGTTCTTGTACCTGGAGTGTATAGGGTTCTGAGTTGAGTTCCTGTACCTTGAGTATATAGGGTTTTGAGTATACTCCTGTACCTGGAGTATATAGGGTTCTGAGTATGAGTCCCTGTACCTGGAGTAAATAGGGTTCTGAGTATGAGTTCCTATACCTGGAGTAAATAGGGTTCTGAGTATGAGTTCCTGTACCTGGAGTATATAGGGTTCTGAGTATGAGTTCCTGTACCTGGAGTATATAGGGTTCTGAGTATGAGTTCTTGTACCTGGAGTATATAGGGTTCTGAGTATGAATTCCTGTACCTGGAGTATATAGGGTTCTGATTTGAGTTCTTGTACCTGGAGTAAATAGGGTTCTGAGTTGAGTTTCTGTACCTGGAGTATATAGGGTTCTGAGTATGAGTTCCTGTACCTGGAGTATATAGGGTTCTGAGTATACTCCTGTACCTGGAGTATATAGGGTTCTGAGTATACTCCTATACCTGGAGTAAATAGGGTTCTGAGTATGAGTCCCTGTCATTGCTTCATTTTCAAACAATCTCTTCTCCCAGTGAGTTAAAGCAGTTCCTTCCTCCCCTTGATCTTCAAGCTCAGCTCCAGTTATAGAGGAACAACCAAAATGTTTCTGTACCTCCTCTCTAGAATAATAAAAACGTTAATGATAATCTATATAATAAAACAACCCTTAGTAACGAATACATCGAAAGAATTCATCAAAAGTCGTATTCTTCACTTTCTGATAATGGAATGTTGCAGATATTTAATTTTTTACTTAAATGATTATATGGAACTCTTTGAAACTGTTCCCGCATATTCATGGCTATATATTTATTTTCGCAAATACTGAAATTTACGTGATATATGTATTCGTTATGAAGGGTTTCACTGTATATATAAATATGTTGCCTATAGTCCGCCAAACGGCTGGATCGATTGGGCTGACATTTTTTGTGGACAGTCATGGGTGGCCAAGATCAGAAAAGACTAGAATAAAACCAGAGCAAGAACTAGAATAAAAAACAAAACAAGAACTTGAATAAAAACCAGATTAAAGACCAGAACAAGAACTAGAAAAAGAATAGAAACAAAAATTAGACTAGACTAAAAATAAAAAAAAGAACCAGAATCAAAACAAGAATGAGAACTAAAAAAACTTAAATAAAAACTAGTACAAGAACATGCAGGAGCTAGCAGAGATAACAGAATTTGAACGAGACACAAGCTAGAACTAGGACTAGAACCTTAACAAGAATAATACTATAGATGTAGGTAAAAAACTAGAATAATAACTAGACTTAGAACTAGAATTATAGAAGTATGGTTTGAATAAAAATTGACCTGACTCTAGGTGTAACGACGACATCTACTGTTTTATTATAGATTCCGCCACGGACAAACTTAGATCTAACTTCCTTCCTGATTGTCTGTTCACTCCACTGCCGAGTCTGTAATCTAAACAAAATTAACAATTTAAAGGGACTGTTTACGTTTTTAAGTCATGCAATAATTTACAAAGATAAAAAATGGATTTTAAAATCATCAGAGTGACATGTGACCCCCCCCCCCCTTCTTTGTGTTGAGTCAAATGTATCCTATTGTTACCATTACATTTGAAAAGGATTGATTCTTTGCCAAACACTCAAATTTTCTAATCCCTATATCTTTGCAACCTGATGGCGTAAACATTTTGCAAAGATATAGGGATTAGAAATTTTAACCTTGTGACATAAACATACACTACAATATCAAATACTTCTTAGATGGGTGGGGGGGGGGATCTTATTATTCATTTATTGAATTATGATAAATGTTTTATTTCCTAAAGTTAATAAATGATTTATATTCTGAGGAATTGATGTTATCCTCTACTGTATTGTTGCAAAGGGCAGGATATCGGTATAATATATTGTATATAGGATTATCCAAAAATCAGTCCGTTTTAAATATCTTCTATAAATATAAAGTTGTAATCTCTGATTGTCTGTTTGTTTATATATCCGATCATAACTAAGGAACCCCTTGACCTATTTGCTTCTAAGTTTGATCGCGGAACTCGTGAGAACCACGGGAAAGTATCTAATCTGGAGTTGAGAGTCTAAGGTGAGTAAATGAACTTTACAAAAAATTTGTTTCCATGTAAAATGGATGAAGTGCAGGTATAAACGGCGGGATGAACTATGAGAACCCCGGGCAACGCTGGGCTTCCAAGCTAGTAAATATATACAATTGGAGGCATCCAGTTTGTTTTACAATTTATTTAATTAAAGTTAAATATCAAAATATTTCAAGTTCGTGGCAAAAAATCAGTTCCTATCATCAACAGTAGTCCCTTAAAAACCAAACTTTTAAAAGTTTTAATCTGAAGAGTGCACAGTGGTTCTAAAGTACACCTATTTATAAATAATTTTCCTTCAGCATTTAGAATGATGTAACCGTAATCAATATATATATAGATAAAGTCTCTACCTTTTGACACGCCCCCCGCCCCCCTCCTTTCACGCCCCGACAAGGTTTGTTCCTTACGCAATATTTAATCGTTGTGCGTGGCGTGGAGCCGTGGACGAGGTTTTACTGGAGTAAAACTTGAACAAATTCACTCAATGCGTGAACTGTGTAAATTCACGAACAGTGGGATCTCTTAACAAATTCAAATCCTAGAATTATTCATCGCTCATGGTTGAAACATGAAATTAGAAATTTATCATGTCAAAACTCAAAATGGGAAACCATTTTCTGAAATACGAATAATTAAAAATTTAAGACACAAAATGTTTTAGGGGCAAAAATAAAAAAAAACCAGGGGAGTACTTAAACGGGGAAGAGTGGGGAATTGTATAGATCTGAAAACAAACCCTTGAAAAAATTGCTCCGAAGATAAAGTATTTTTTATGTTTTCAAAATTTCATTTTTCTAATATGTAGAGGTAGAATTTAGAAAACGTAAATCAAAAATGATTTTTGTTGACATTTTTTTTCGGCCGAAACTTATCATCTGTAACCATGCAATAAACCCTCCATGGATCATGTGATTTTCCACAAAAAATTTGGGCCAGATCGATTTAGCTGTTGTGAATTTTATTGGATACAAACAAGCAAAGTTTTTATGATTTGGCCAATTAAAAGTTATGATAGCCTTTTGGTTTTATTATAGAATGAATATAATTGTATAATAGAATGCATATGATTTTATTATAGAAGGAATATAATTAATTTGTGTTGACGGTTTTTTACAATTCAATTTCAGAAGCCGAACATGGTTTGATAAAAAAAATTGTAAGGACAAAAAATTTACTTTCCAGTTCCTTTCTCTGTTGATACGGATATCATAGAAATAATACTAATTTTACGCATCATTGCTAAAACTTACCGCATATATAAAGGCTATCGTTTTTTGATAACATATTTCTTAATTAGCATTAATGGACATTTTTATCAAAATTCAATCAAACTTTCCTGAAATGGAATAAAAAGATTTTGCGCATTGAAACAATTTTCCTCTTTGAGGATATTTTATTAGAAACCCTGTTCATTTTGGCAATAATCTTAATTTAAATATAAATCTAAAATATCGCAAAAGTTCAATTTCCTAAATTTTCAAAGGTTACGTTTCAATTAAAAATTAAATCTATACAATAAGTGAACTCTTCAATTATTTTCCTCTATAGGTCATTGGATAATTTAAATAAGATGGCATCAAGTACAAATATGACCAAACACTAACAAATGAGATCAAATATGGAATTAAACATTGTAAAATATATAAATTCTAAATTTAAATATATTAGTTTGACAAAAGCTAGTTTTTCATCGAGCACTAAAAATACCGCATATTTTTCTGTTTTCATTCTTGGGTTTTCAAACAAACATTTTCAAAATCTAAATTTAGACTAGCGGTGACCAATTTTAAATTCGGCCCGGCCTTTAACCATAATTTAGGATTTATGTGCAGTGAGGTTCTGGAAAACGGTCTTTTCTTACAAACAACCATACTGACAAATATAGATATGTATACTTACTCCTCGTTGAGCTTAGGCTTGCCGTTATCCCCCCTGGGGGTGAGGGGGTTCCCCTGGGAGTCCCTGAAGAAGGCGAACAAGGAGACGGAGAACCCGAGGGCGTGAAGCATCTCGTGTTTAACGGTAGAGAGGAGGATATCAAGCTCCTGGGCCTTCAAGGAGATAGAACTAGGACAGAGGTTAGCGTGCCCGGCTATCGGCCTAAAAAATTATAAATAATTAATAAAAATATTTTCTTAATGTAAATTTTGTTCCGTACGTTTTACCATTGAGTATAATTCGGGTTGGTAACGGTTAAATTTTCTTGAATAAAATGATTGGCATATATTAAATTTTTGTTTATCAAACGAGTCATCCATCTCAAATTAAAGCCACGCCTTTCTTTACTTATCCATCAAAATTTCAGAACACAATAAACTTATTTTTAAATCTTGGGCAAACCACTTAACTTTTAATCGATTTGTTCCAAAATTCTAGAATTTTAATCGAGAAAATGGAACTTCAAAGATGTTATCAAAAACAAAACAAACAAAAAGCAGAAAATTTCCGGCCATAAATACGCGACCATACAATACATTTCTTTTAAGCGTTTCGCCAAAGATTTCAGTGTTTGGTTTATTAAAAATGCCTCTATTATCATTAACATAACAAATTTATCTTTAAATGTTTAAATTTTTTCTCGTTTTTCTTCACATTTTTAAAATTATAATATTGTTTTTAACTTTAGAATATCTAAAAATACATCAAAGTAGAAAAAAGGTATTCTAAACATTTATAATGGCAAATGTTTATCCGCCAAAAAACTATCCCTTTATATGCCTAGACACAAAATGTATATTTAAGTCGCCCCAAGATATATTACATTGCCAGCAAACTACTGCTCAATTGTTCAAATTTAAAATATTTAAAGGGACTTGTACCAATTTCCAACATAGTCTTTATTTCTTATATATATTAGTCACTCACCAAAGTCCATTAAACTGAAACGACCCCTTTAATATTCTGCAGAATCATGATTAGATAATAACTTTAACTCCTCCCCCCCCCCACCCCTTGTATTGTGAAGAGCTCAGCAGTCTCGCGTCTATACTATTTTGCAATTGCATTCTTGAGTATTGAGTTTATGTATGTATACAAGTAGAAAGTGTTAAGGACAGAAAAAAGGGCTGAAAATCCCATGTGGGGGGGGGGGGGGGAAGGGAAGGGGGGGTAGAGGGATAGGAAAGGGGTGTTCAGTTATTTTTATAATATTATGGTGCTGGACCTAACCAGTGCCGACATTTGATAAATTCCATGAATTCAATTATTTTAGGTTTAAACTAAAGGAAAAATACACAACGCATAAAATAACCCCCTGAAAAGAGATAAAAAATTAAGCAGCAATATTGAAAATGAGCAGTTTTATCACTTACAGTACTGCTTCCTGTTATCAATGAGCAGTATTATTACCTGTCAAGAACAGCTTTCTGTTGACAATCACCAGCATAAATACCTGTCTAGATCAGCTTCCTGTTAACAATGAGTAGTAGTATTACCTGTCTAGAACAGCTTCCTGTTGACAATCACCAGCATAAATACCTGTCTAGAACAGCTTCCTGTTGAAAATGAGCAGTATATATTACCTGTCTAAAACAGCTTTCTGTTGACAATCACCAGCATAAATACCTGTCTAGATCCGTTTCCTGTTAAAAATGAGCAGTATATATAACCTGTCTAAAACAGCTTCCTGTTGACAATCACCAGCATAAATACCTGTCTAGATCCGCTTCCTGTTAAAAATGAGCAGTATTATTACCTGTCTAAAAAAGCTTTCTGTTGACAATCACCAGCATAAATACCTGTCTAGAACAGCTTCCTGTTAACAATGACTAGTATTATTGCCTGTCTAGATCCGCTTCCTGTTAAAAATAAGCAGTATTATTACCTGTCTAGAACAGCTTTCTGTTTACAATCACCAGCATAAATACCAGTCTAGAATAGCTTCTGTTAACAATGAGCAGCATTATTACCTGTCTAGAACAGCTTCCTGTTGACAATGAGCAGCATACGCTACTGTCATTCCTTTCTGACATCGTTCCGTCTCCATAGCGGAAATATAAAAAAGAAAATCAGCATCCCTGAAAAAAATATTTCATTAAGCCTTAGTGCATGAGTACAACTGCAAATTAATCAGTAAAAAAACTGATGAATTTCAATTTGATTAAAAACTAGGAAAAAGAGAAAAAAAATATTAATTAGCTAAATATCTTGTACAACAAAATCATCAAACTTACTTTTTTGTTAATTAACAATTGTAAATATACGACAAGATTTGTTTCTAAACATCTTCCGAGCCAAAAAAACAGTATTTTCCCAACCACTGATTTTATTTTCCTAACTTATGAGGTTACTTTCCCAACCCATGAGATTACTTTCCCAACCCATGAGATTATTTTCCCACCCCCTAGATTACTTTAACAACCTATGAGATTACTTTCCCAGCCCATGAGATTACTTTCACAATCCATGAAATTATTTTCCCAACCTATGAGATTACTTTCCCAACCCATGAGATTTCTTTCCAAACCCCTGAGATTACTTTCCCCACCCATGAGATTACTTTCCAAACCCGTGAGATTACATTCCCAACCCATGATGTTACTTTCCCAACCCATGAGATTACTTTCCCTAGATGAGATTACTTTCCAAACCCATATGATTACTTTCCCAGCCCATAAGATTACTTTCCCAACCCATGAGATTTCTCACCTTATTCCCTCTCCAGGTTTACTGTCTTCGACAATACCGCAGTTTTGACCAAATGCATTGCACACCCTGTAAAGTAATAAATATTAGAAAATAATAAAGATAGTATTACGCGCAGCTTTTTACAGTTTATTAATAAAGAATTATTACTTTTACCGCCAGCAATTTTTAATTGAAAACAAATTTAAAATACTTAATAATTTTTGGGATAAAGGAATTTACCTATTTCCTATATCTTTGCAACCCAACGTCGTAGACCTTATGTATTTTAAATTATGAATTCTGTTAGATCAAATAATTCAGGCTTGAAATTTCGAATGTGTACGCCATCATGTTGCACAGAGATTACAAAATTTGAGTTTGTAGCAAAGGCTTAATTCCTTTATTAACCTTAGCTATCCCCGCATCTTTAATCCGCGGCAAATAAGTAACGTTTTATCCAGGAAAACACTGTCCAAAAGTTTACGTAAATATTTAAAAATACTTTCTGCACACTTTTATAAATCAGATAAAATATTCAATAATTTTAAATAATATATGATTTGGAAATTTGAAATGAAACCGGGATATAAAATTTTATCTTTAAAGTTTTATCTGGGTCCAGATTTATTTAATAGCGAGAAGTAACCAAGCAAATGTATAGTTCAACAACTTCTCTAGTGCGCCGGCTCAAGCTAAAAAGAAGTGGTTAAACCCCGTCTGCGTTCAACCATGTCTTGCTATATCTTTTCTTTAGATGGATTAAAATAATATCCATTAACCTACTCCATAATTAATAATATCCATTAACCTACTCCATAATTAATAATATCCATTAACCTACTCCATAATTAATAATATCCATTAACCTACTCCATAATTAATAATATCCATTAACCTACTCCATAATTAATAATATCCATTAACCTACTCCATAATTAATAATATCCATTAACCTACTCCATAATTAATAATATCCATTAACCTACTCCATAATTCATTTTAAACAATCAGCTTTTTTATTTATATAGTTTTACTTTAAGCTTAAAAAAGTATATAAAATAATGCTGAACTATTGAAAAATTATATTTTAAAATGCTCATTGTTTAACAGCACAACCATAAATTGTCTGCACAAAAACACTTCTCTGAGAAAAACAAAGATTAACCAGTATTTTTGTGTCTAGGCTGTGCATTTGTTCCATTTCAACTTTTGATGCACGGTGCAGGGAGAGCAGATCTTGTAAAAGGAGGTAGGGGGCATGCCTGGCTGCCGCGTAGAGCCACGCAAAACTTCACCCGAACCTCTTAGTTTACACAATAAGATCCAAGCCTCTTCCATGATGACGCATTTAAACAATTTTGATTTTTGATGATGTGCTCGCGGCGACCGACGTAAACTGAATTGCTCGATTTTAAACCTCTATTGTGTCAGGAAATAATAGTGTCATATAAAAATACTTTTCAAAGTCATTTAAACATTCTTGCATAAGAAAATATATTTTTAATTTTCTTTAAGTTCTGCTTCTCACCTACAAGACTCAAGATGCTCGTTTGGAACTCTAACCTCGCCGCACATAGTGTCCTCCTCACAAGATACCTAAACCAGATAATCAATCAATCAACCATTCCAACTAATCAATTAATCGTTCATTTTTAATCAGTTATTAAAGTGAGTGACTGGTATTGTACTTGATCTAAGACCACAGTAGTTCAATATCCGGATTTATTACATATATCATAACGTTTTTACGTTCTGCAATTGCTTCATAAGACCGAGAACTAGTTCTTCAAAAATCACGAGGCTAGAAATAATTCTTGTCATTTGTTCACAAGATCGGATAAATAAAAATTTCAAATATTCAGAGATGGAATTTAAAGAATTTGAGCCGCGGTTTAAATCCGCCAAAACCCGGTTAAAATTAAGCGCCGGCTTAAATCTTGAAACAGTTGATAAAATTTTAAGTGGAACCAACCATATTTAAACCGCGGCTTAAATTTAAACCGCCGCTCAAATTCTTTAAATTCGGCCACTGATCTTGTTAGCTCGTGGTTTTTCATAAGCGAATTTGCAGTCTTATTTTTACTATGATTCTTTTATTTTATAATAGTGCAGTCTCAGTTCAACTACCATACCTAGCCAGCCACTCCCTTTAAATCTAAAAAGTCTACATTATATTTTTAGCAAAATTATTTTTAGAAGATAAACAATTTACCTTACAGAATGGATGCTTAGATTCTTGCTTGTAAAAAACTTGATTTTCCCGGCATTTTCTAAAAAATACATAAATTGGAAAAATAGAAATTTACCTTTTTAACCCTCCAGAGCAGAGGTTGCAAAAACTTTCCATATTTATCAGATTAACCGATATGGATCATTAGTCCTTAGCCTCCGAACAATTGACCGATACGAAATCAGTTTATTCTGGGATTTGGGTTGAACACAGCGCAAAGAATATTTAAATATATAGCTTGATAAATATACTTCTTTATCACTAAAGCACATTTTTAAACAAACACTTTAACGACCAGATTCGCCAAGCCAACATTGGCAAACCCTGCTGTTATTTTAGGACATAATCATACATTTGGAGGGGTTTCGTCCAACATGCAAAGAGGAAAGCATTAGGAAGAGACAGAATTGGGGGGGGGGGGGGGTTTAGCTCCTCAATCAAATCGCAAATACAGATTTGTTTTTATCCTTTGTAATTTATTTTTAACGAGTTTAAAGAAGAAGAGTTTCACGTATAATTGGTGGTGTCGATAATATAGATACATTATAAAGTTCACATATTGCGTTTTTAATCCAGTATTGACAAAATGTGCATACAGTGAAAACCAGAAAACGGTGGAATCAATGTCGTCTTTCTTTCACTTCCATGCTGCCAAGGATTGTGTAATTTGAAATTCTTCCAACTAATATGTTAAGAAACCTGAATTTTTGTGTGGGTATAATTAAACACTTTTAAATTTGAGGATAAATGCTAGCTACCTTTATTTCAGGTTTTTCAGGCCGAGTATGACCATCACTGCAGATTTCGAAGTGGAATTAAATTAATCATTAGATCTGCATTTAAGATTGAGATCGAGCTTTATCCCGAGATTCACAACACAAAGTTCTGACTTCAGAGCTGGGAACTTATGAATGGTGGATATCGGGATTAATGCTTGATCCACTCTTTTTCTTAATCTCGAGACTAACTAATGCTTGTTCTCCTCATGTTATCAATATCCAGATTAATTAACCGATCGGGATTAAGGACATTCCATTCTGAAGTTTTCAGCTCAAATTTCAGTTAAAAATTATGAAATCCATAGCGACATTTTACACTGCCATTTTAACAAAACCAACTATCAAGTGTTAATTGTTTTTAATTTATAGTGATTTCTAGAATTCTTTTAATCGATTCAATTTTGATTTAGATCAAGTTGTGAAACAGCATGAATATACACATAAACATAGACGTCAAGAGAAGCTATCAATTGAATCTTCATTATATTGATGTAATCGCCTACCACTGTATATTAAACAGATTTACATAAAACAGATTTTCAACAATATTTTTACAGTTATGAAATATTGAAATATGAGATTTTGAGAATTTGAGTTTTGAAGTAAATACTTACATTTGAAGTTAGATACATCAAGTTTACGTGAAAATAGCAAATATAAATTAAATTATTTTTTTAGTCATAGTTTGAAATATCTCAGGTTTACTAAGATATAGGGATTAGAAAATCAGAGTTTGTGACAAAGACTGAACTCCTTTTGTACCTGTTAAGTCTGATTATATGCTCTGATCGGCGTACTTTCAGCGCTTCACCCCAATAGTTTAATGCAGTAGGAATAACAGTATTCTTAAATAAAAAACATGCAAACTTGTACTCTTGTCTACACTCAATTTTAAAGCATTTATTCCCAACAAAAAGGGATGCATATGTTGAATAAGATGAATATGATTGATGAAAATTAATGAGATGATTGAGATGAAAAAGAAACAAATTAGATGGATAGGATGAAGAAGATTGATAAGAATGAATATGAGGAATAAGATGAATAAAATGAATAAGATGAATGAGATGAATAAGATGAAAGAGATGAATAAGGTTAATAAAATGAATAAGATGAAAAGATGAATAAGATGAATAAGATGAATAAGAAGAATAAGATGAATAAGGAATATAAGATGAATAAAATGAAAAGATGAATAAGATCATTAAGAAGAATAAGATGAATAAGATGAAAAAAATGAATAAGATGAATGAAATGAATAAGATGAATAAAATGAATAAGATGAATAAAATGAATAAGATGAATATAATGAATAAGATGAATAAGATAAATAAGATGAATGAGATGAATAAGATAAATAAGATAAATAAGATGAAAAAGATGAATAAGATGTATCAGATAATTAAGATTAATTACATAAATGAGATATATGAGATGAATGAAGAAAATGAATGAAATAAATAAGATGAATAAGATGAGTAAGATGGATAAATGATTAAGATGAATAGAATTGAAGAAGTAGAAAGATGAATTAAGAAGAATGAGAAGAATAAAATAAATAAGATATGAATAAAATTAAAAGATAAAATTAAAATACTTACATGTATAAGATTGTATTGTTCACTTGTCAGCCTGTAAACAGTAAAAAATAAGTATTCAGAAATATTGATAATAACATAAATAAATAACAATATTAAGAATAATGATAATAATGCACTAGGGTTCCCAAATTGGTCGAAGGAACCCATGGTCTAGTAAAAAAATATTAATTTATTGTCTTTAGAATAGTAGTAAGCTATTCTAAGCTTGTGCTCTGTGCTTCTCTTGACTAGGGTGTGGTTGAGTCCCTCCACCTTCTCCTCCAGGTATATAGGGGGTAGGACCTAAACAAAATATTTAATGTAATCTCCAGGTCAGAACCGAGAATCAGCGCTAATCTTCCAAGTTTACATTACTACTAATAGGAATGAAAAAATTGGGTTTGTGGCAAAACGAAATCCTTTGTAAAATATCTTGTAAACATTCGTTATTTGAAAATGGTATGGTTTAGGTACCGTTGTGAATCGTGTATAAGATAAGGGAGGATCTGGACCCCCCCCCCCCATCTTGGAGAGCCCAGACCGCCATCTGGGCTAACTCCCATGAGCTCACGACTACAGTCCATTTAAAAAGAAGGGAATATATAATTGTTGTATTATTCAAAGTGTTGGGCTCTTTAGAGGAGTTATATATTATTATTATATATATTACTATAGTGTAATATGATATATATGTAAATAATGCTAGTTAAGACATATATTATATTCATATTTTCGGGGTTAACAAGTGGGTGAACACTGGACAGGGGGTAGATTGTTCCTATTTCATATTTTTTGGTATTTTAATTATTAAATATATCTGTATCATCTTTTAAGCGGACGGATATTAAATGCGAGATCAATACAAATGACTGAAAATGTTCCAACATGTATTTCTTTGTATGTAAGTATTACACGGTACATAATTAACTTAAAATAATTCATAGTTTAAAATATCTAAGGTCTCCGACATTGAAATGCAAAGATATAGGGATAAGAAAATCAAAGTTTGTGACAAAAACTCAATTCCTTTACTTATGTATTTAATAACATTATTTTTAATATATTAACACCCAAAATTCTATATGTGAGTCCAAGCAAACCAAAAACCTCATCTTTGTTTTAAAAATATTCCTGCAATTTCTGGTAACCTAAACTAACTAGCTAGCTATAGCTAGTACTAACCTAAACTAACTAGCTAGCTATTATAGCTAGTACTAACCTAAACTAACTAGCTAGCTATATTTTGCTCATTTCTATTCCAGAAACAGTAAAACAATTATTTTTCTAAACAAAAAGATATTGGGCTTCCAGATTTATCTTTTCTCTTTAATACAGTATCAACTTTTTATCTTATCTTATTATTAGAAAATCTAAATATTTTGAAAACAATTTAGGTTTTTATGCTCCCTGAAATAAAAATACTCTTTTCAAGAATACTCCCTGAAATAAGTATACTCTTGTCAAGTATCCCCCCTGAAATAAATATACTCTTGTCAAGAATCCTCCCTGTAATATACTCTTGTCAAGAATCCTCCCTGTAATATACTCTTTTCGAGAATACTCCCTGAAATAAATATACTCTTGTCAAGAATCCTCCCTGAAATAAATATACTCTTGTCACGAATCCTCCCTGAAATAAATATACTCTTGTCAAGAATCCTCCCTGTAATATACTCTTGTCAAGAATCCTCCCTGTAATATACTCTTGTCAAGAATCCTCCCTGTAATATACTCTTTTCAAGAATCCTCCCTGAAATAAATATACTCTTGTCAAGAATCCTCCCTGAAATATACTCCTGTCAAGAATCCTCCCTGTAATATACTCTTGTCAAGAATCCTCCCTGTAATATACTCTTGTCAAGAATCCTCCCTGAAATAAGTGTACTCTTTTCAAGAATCAAGAAATAAGTACACTCTTTTCAAGAATCCTCCCTAAAATAAGTATACTCTTTTCAAGAATCCTCCCTGAAATAAGTACACTCTTTTCAAGAATCCTCCCTGAAATAAGTACACTCTTTTCAAGAATCCTCCCTGAAATAAGTACACTCTTTTCAAGAATCAAGTAATAAGTATACTCATGTCAAGAATCAAGAAATAAGTACACTCTTTTGTTTTGAATATTTCTTTATTTTAGTTGGTGGACAGATATACTGAGTAAATATTTGATTAGTATATTAATGGTTAGCGAATATAAAACCAGCATATTTACTTGCAGGGATCTTTAGTCATTTATGTACACTTAAGCAAATCTATGCAATAAATACATGTTTCGCCAAATCAACGTAATGTAGCACGCTTTTGGCTCTTATCACTATGTATGTTTTTTATAATAAATAAATTTTAACTAAAAAAGTTTTTATTTATTTTTAATGACTATCAATCAAAAAAATTGTTAAAAACATGTAAGAATTTTGAAGATGTTAAAACAATAAGAATTCCATTTATAATTGGAATTCTCCTTGTTCAATGTTGATGTTCAAGCACGGTACTTTAAATCTCTATAAAAAACGCCCTTGAATAAGAAAAATAAAAGGATTTGAACAGAAAGTTAAGGTTCAAAAGGATGAGTGATTAACATTGGGCGGAATTGGTTACCACCCTTTTAGATAATGTAAATATTGATGTGTGTATTTGTAAACATGGATTTCAACCTTTATATACCCTTCTCCAAGGAGTGTATAATAAAGGTAAGCTGTTGGAAACAAGGGATGTAATCCGTCGTCTTTGCAATAGGACAGAGATCAGGGACCATAGGGAATTGGTCTTATAGGTATAGATCATGTAGTGACATACAGTACATCGGAAAAATACGGGTTGCGGCATCTGTTTTGCTGATTAAAACTGCAAATTGAGAAGTTATACGATGATCAGTAAACTTGAAAAATTAATCGATGGGCAGAACAATACTTCTCCGAAACATAAGAGCTTAACCCAAGGTAAAAATTCTATTTGAATAATTTACATTTCTAAAGTTTTTGTAAAATTAACATTTCTGCAACAGAGCTGACTGTCCCTCCCCCACTTATGTCATTTGTGGACATATTTTTTTTAAAGAAGAATGGAAAGCTAGACCAACCAACGCATATTTTGTTTTAGAGAATGTAAAATAGTTTCAAATTGGATTCGTCTTAATGGAATATTTCTTAATTTTTTCATAGTAAGTCCGTATGGATGGGGCGTTAATAGGGGGGGGGGGGGGATATGGCCCTCCCTGCACGGCCACCAATATTCTAGAAATGTTAGGTTCACCTCCAATAAAAATCTCATTTTCAAACACCTAACGACTACTGTTCTTTCTAACTTTTCAATAAAATTGTAACCTCACCTTTCCACCCCCCCCCCCCCGACTTCCGAGAATACATTCTGTTTACGATGGATATTATAATTTTAAGAAACAAATATTCTTAAAGATAATCTTAAACTTGTTAAGATTTCATGATGCCGGGTCTGCCAGGACATTTATGTACTGCATGAAGTTCACGTGTGAAGTAAATCAGGAAAATCATGAAGTTCTATTTGCTTTCATTTAATTGTGATTGCCGTAATAGATTTTATTTACCATTCATTCAAGAGGTTTGTGCCCGACTCACAACTGTACTCTTTAAAAACTTTGTATGATCAATAATTTGGAAGATATCGTCGTTTTGCTAGCTTGTAAAATGTTTGAATTCTGGCCATTTTTGCCAGTCCTTTTTACTTTTTAAAGTTAAAATATGGATATCTTACAAAGCTTATAGGGGCCCTCTATATGAACTAAATATTACGTCTACAGTTCCTTTAGGAACCATGGACCAATGCTTTAAAACTATTCTCTAAATTTTAATTCATAATCAAAATAACGTCTACAAAAATTCCCCTCTTCTTTATATGTACATGTTGACCTTTTCGTCAAATTTTGAGGGGAGTGTACAATTTCCCTGTACACATTGCCTATCAGCATTCTATACTCTAACCTTTCTCCGGTTGGAAAGCTTTGTAGAGCTCAAACTTTGAAATGGAAAGTCGTCTTCCTTGGGTTTATATATACGACGACAACTGCACGATGTATTTGAACTGCTCAGGAACTGCTTTAATAGATAAATAAAAGATAAATCCTTGCCAGCAAAGATCTTTAATTACAATATTTGTTATTACTTTAATGAAACTAGTACTTTGCAGTCAAACGTATACAAAAACCCTCCCCTACTACACCCTCCCGTCTACCTATGATATACATACAGGGTTACCCACAAAGGATAAGACTTCAGAGACGACTCTAAATAATCAATACTGTCTGCTTTCTGTTTTCATGATTCCATGCCATGATGCAAATATAAACTTGTTAAATCATATAAACAAGCTATTAAACAATTATATTCAAGGCAGAAGACTTCATTTAATCTAGAGATCGACATATTTAAAAGTTTTATGTCGTCTTTACAGTCTCATTATTGGTGGGTAACCCTATACCTTGCCCTTCCCTATTCTCTGTCTTAAAGTAGTTTAAAATATTTAAGATTGTGTGTTTCAGAGAAGCAACTGTAAACTAGAGTAAAGAGGGATCAATTCTTGGAACAATTCATTGTAACCAGAATAGTTGAGATCTTGGAACAATTCATTGTAACCAGAATAGTTGAGATCTTGGAACAATTCATGGTAACCAGAATAGTTGAGATCTTGGAACAATTCATTGTAACCAGAATAGTTGAGATCTTGGAACAATTCATTGTAACCAGAATAGTTGAGGTCTTAGGAATGTTTAGTTTATTTACGATACATTCGATTAGCTAAATTTTATACTAAATATTTTAGGATTGGTATTGCAGGACAGGATAGCACAGGAAAGGGCAGGATAGGTATGTAAGGGCAGGATAGGACAGGAAAGAGCAAGATAGGTATGTAAGGGCAGGATAGGACAGGAAAGAGCAAGATAGGTATGTAAGGGCAGAATAAGACAGGAAAGAACAGGATAGGTATGAAAGGGCAGGATAAGACAGGAAAGAGCAGGATAGATATGAAAGGGCAGGATAAGACAGGAAAGAGCAAGATAGGTATGAAAGGGCAGGATAGGACAGGAAAGGGTCAGG